ATGGATGGATGGATGATGGATGGATGGATGGATGGATGGATGGATGGATGGATGGATGGATGGATGGATGGATGGATGGATGGATGGATGGATGGATGGATGGATGGATGGATGGATGGATGGATGGATGGATGGATGGATGGATGGATGGATGGATGGATGGATGGATGGATGGATGGATGGATGGATGGATGGATGGATGGATGGATGGATGGATGGATGGATGGATGGATGGATGGATGGATGGATGGATGGATGGATGGATGGATGATGGATGATGGATGGATGGATGGATGGATGGATGGATGGATGGATGGATGGATGGATGGATGGATGGATGGATGGATGGATGGATGGATGGATGGATGGATGGATGGATGGATGGATGGATGGATGGATGGATGGATGGATGGATGGATGGATGGATGGATGGATGGATGGATGGATGGATGGATGGATGGATGGATGGATGGATGGATGGATGGATGGATGGATGGATGGATGGATGGATGGATGGATGGATGGATGGATGATGGATGGATGGATGGATGGATGGATGGATGGATGGATGGATGGATGGATGGATGGATGGATGGATGGATGGATGGATGGATGGATGGATGGATGGATGGATGGATGGATGGATGGATGGATGGATGGATGGATGGATGGATGGATGGATGGATGGATGGATGGATGGATGGATGGATGGATGGATGGATGGATGGATGGATGGATGGATGGATGGATGGATGGATGGATGGATGGATGGATGGATGGATGGATGGATGGATGGATGGATGGATGGATGGATGGATGGATGGATGGATGGATGGATGGATGGATGGATGGATGGATGGATGGATGGATGGATGGATGGATGGATGGATGGATGGATGATGGATGGATGGATGGATGGATGGATGGATGGATGGATGGATGGATGGATGGATGGATGGATGGATGGATGGATGGATGGATGGATGGATGGATGGATGGATGGATGGATGGATGGATGGATGGATGGATGGATGGATGGATGGATGGATGGATGGATGGATGGATGGATGGATGGATGGATGGATGGATGGATGGATGGATGGATGGATGGATGGATGGATGGATGGATGGATGGATGGATGGATGGATGGATGGATGGATGGATGGATGGATGGATGGATGGATGGATGGATGGATGGATGGATGGATGGATGGATGATGGATGGATGGATGGATGGATGGATGGATGGATGGATGGATGGATGGATGGATGGATGGATGGATGGATGGATGGATGGATGGATGGATGGATGGATGGATGGATGGATGGATGGATGGATGGATGGATGGATGGATGGATGGATGGATGGATGGATGGATGGATGGATGGATGGATGGATGGATGGATGGATGGATGGATGGATGGATGGCTGGATGGATGGATGGATGGATTGGACGGACGGACGGACGGACGGTCGGATGAACGAACGAACGAACAAATCAATAAATAAATAGGCAAGCAAGCAAGCAAATAAGCATATATATATATATATATATATATATATATATATATATATATATATAGCGGCATTCAAATTATGATTTACTGAAAAGTGGAAAATAAAACAACTAAATAGCGGCGTGTGATTCGTCGCGGGTCGGCTCGTATCGCTATATTTGTCAGTAGACTTTCGATAGGAAACGCAGTCGCACTCTGCAATCACAACACACCAGTCAAAGTACTTACAGGTAAGGATATATGATTAATTATGTTTAGCTATTATATTACATTCTATCATTTTAGAGAATAATAAACAATGTGTATTTTTTTAATATAGCCTATTTCCAGAAGATTTTCGAGAACCTAACTGATTTGTTTACATTTTAACACAATGCTTTGAAACTAGATATCCATTCTAGAATCTAAATCTAGAGAACAATTAAAACAAAATTATTCGAATTATACTTCCACAAACTTGAGCAATAAATTTAATTACTGTTAATTTTCTACTAGCGTTAGATTGAGGGTTTAGCTACGTATTAAGAAATGTTTATATGGTAGGTCACAAAATGTTTGGCGTACATGTTAAACAACATGCTTGGTTGTCTTTACTAAATGCTTCTATGATTAATTTTGATATTATATATACTGGCAAAATATTGAGATGGCTATTCAGTTCAATAAATAATAAGCATGTTTCAAATGTTAACACATTAAAACATGAGCTTAGCAATTAGCTTACTATAGTGATGAGTATTATTTGTTTAGATTTTAGATTAAAAGTCGAAATTATTTAATTCCGTGACATTAAATTGTATTGACAGATGCTACCATACATCAGAGGGAGAAGGCTATTTAAACTTAGCTAGCAATCTCAAGCTGTAAAGTGACAAAATAATGTCATTTTATTAGTCACAAAAATTTTCGTCTGACTTACCAAAAAAAAATCAGTTTTATTGTTTCGAGATACCAGCCTCTCTCAACAGACCATTATTACCAAAATAACATACCACCTCTCTCAACAGACCAGCCTCTCTCGACAGACCAATCTTATATACAAGACACAAGCATATCTCAACAGACCAGCCTCTCTCGAGGCGCCGGTCGACGTGCATGATTCGATTTAGTGAACTACTATAATACCGCTAGTTTGTCCACAAACCGAAAGATAGAAGTAAACAAATATAACATGTAGGAGCGACTTCTAAACTGTTATTGATTAAAAATAATAATTAGCAAACAGTATAAAATAATTAAAGAGCAGTATTTTAAAAAAAACGTTTTTTACCTACCACATTGCACTTTATTAATCCACGCTAATTATATAATATTTTTTTTTAATCACCGAAACAAACAAATATTTTATTTTCTCAGTTGTAATGTTTTTTAAAGGGAAATAAACAATTTATGTGCGATCTATTGGAGGAATTAACCGGCAGTAAATGAAACGAAGTCAAGTAATGTATACACTTTTTAAACTTTTGTGAAGGCTGTGTTTATTCCACATAACGTTAATTAAAATGGTATGTTTGGATAATGAACTTTTTATTTACAAAACTATCCATATATTTTTAAAAAAAATTCCTTTAAATAAAATACGCTTTAAGAATATTACACTATGGCGATCAAGTCGAGTTTTTAACTATATGACTCTTTTGACAAGGGTCAGACCGCTGTCCGCTGTCACTTACAGAGCCACAGAATCCGCTTGAGTTGTGTATACTATATTTGATATGGGTGTTTTAAAACAAATGTCGCATGATGAATTTCTGTCTACGGCATTTCAAAGCAGTACGGTAAGCCGGGGTAATTCCACACACGGGGTAATTCCACACACGGGGTAATTCCACACACTATATACTGAATACTCTCTATTTTTAATGGGAGTAAAGTTTAATTAAAAGTTACTATTCCTTGTTTCTAAGAGGTCATTTATTGTACTTTCTGATGCTGTTAGAGAAGCGTTCATCTACAATCAGAGCAAGAATTTTAATTTTATATGCATCTATCTTCAAACATCCTTACGTAAGTACAACCCCTGCACTTTTTTAAAAATAGTTTATTTTGTCTTATTTTTAATTGTTGTCAATTATTTATTGATTTTATGAAAGCTTAATCATTTTTGTTAATAGTAACAGTTAATGATGCTAGATTCAGCCTTTAATTTAGAACAGGAAAGCATATTTTTTTCAATAGTAGGTGTGGGGCAATTCCACACACATGGTGTGGGGCAATTCCATATACTATAGTTTGGAATGTCCCATGTTGCTTTTTATACTCTTTAGAGGATTTAGCTTTTATTGTAAACCATTTAAACTGGTTATGGCTAATTCTGTAATTCACAACTTATGAATTAATCTTAAAAAAAAATACTTAAATAGTACTAGATCTAGTACTATTTATTTTTAAAAAGACTCTGCTATTAAAGTTAAGTAAAATTGCCACATACTTCTTTTATTTCTTTATCTATTATTATTTTTACTGTACCTATATTATTTATTATAATTTATGCAATATTTAGAGCTAAACATCCCCATACACACATTAGCAGTTAGACTTTCTAACATTTAATTTTGTATTTATTTCAGAATGGTCCACAATTATATAGTAATAACTTCGGCCTATGACAGATGAGAGCAGAATTTAGGAGGAAGAAATGGAGGCTTTCTCTTCATCCAGTGATGAAGATTGGTTGCCCCCGTGCAAAACTGTTTCCAAGGGGAAACATGTTTTTTACAAATTTTTAAATACATGAATTTTAAAATTTTCATAATGTGTGTGGAATTGCCCCACTTGCCATGTTTTTGCAATAAAAGTGAAATATTTAAAAATTGTAATTTATTTTGTGAATTATCTCTATATTTGTTTGCCATCATATAAGTAATGCATGTCTAGTTAGAGCCTCAATATTATATTGTGGTAGTGTTAATTTTAGATTTTTTACAATTTTTTTAGAAAAGTAGTGTATGGAATTACCCCGGGTTACCCTATTGCCTGTTTAGAGATGTGGGATATCATTAGCGGTTTTCTTCTCGAAAATGTATTTAAAACGTACCAGAATAGAACAACACCATACATATGTTTCATGTCTATTTAAATATAATGTTTACTTTGAAACTTGACATGGAATGCTCCCATCTAATTCTCTACCTTCTGTTAAATTTTGAGTAATTTCCGTTGACCGGAAGTAGTAATTTACGCTACTTCCGATTTTTCAAAAAACTAATGTAAATTTTAAAAGTACTAATAATATTGCGCACTATTATGCGCTTTTTTATTTGGCGTTCACTTGGTGTGCAATTAATTTGTCTACGAGATTTTATTCTATTTTTAAAACTTTAAGTATTTAAAATGGATTAAAAATCATGTCTATAGCCCGAGTTCCCATCCCCTGTTATTTTATATAAGAATATTCGAGAAAGTTTAGGGGAGATCACTCTCGTTTTTTTATTATTATAATAGACAGATATACTGAGATCAAAGGAACAACAATTTGGGATGGTCAAAATCATACATTTATTAGAAGGCTTTTGGTGCTAGCAGATGGTGTGGTACCAGCTAATCCACAGAGAGCTTGAAAATTTATTCGTTAATTCAGGTTCTAGCAGTTGCTGTGGTCGTAGTTGTGGTACCTATCGTTGTAGGGATGTGCGGCCACACAGTTGGCGAAGTCGATGTCGCATTTACAAGTTCTGTCCTCACATGAAGATGTTTGGCTGTCTGAAATAGGACGTGACGATTACTAAATGGTTTGTAAATCAATCTGCGTTATTAATAAAAATTAATTTATTAATAACAATGCTTTGTAATAGTATGTTCCAAGTAGACACGTGAAGTAGACAAAACATGCTTTATCTAACTTACTGATATGGGATGTTATCAAAATAAATTCTAAATAGAATTTACTAATATGGGAGATAATCACAATTCTATATCGAACTTACTAAAATGGGAGGTAATCAAAACAAATTCTATATAGAATTTACTAATATGGGAGATAATGACTATTCTATATCGAACTTACTACAATGACAAGAATGACCCGAACAAGTATAGTGGTAGGTCGAAAGTTTGGGGGAGCAGCCTGATGCGCTCAATGTGCCGTAGCACTGGTCGTGCACCTGACAACACCTGCAACATTTTAAACCGCAGATTAGTTAAATAAAGTTTTATACTTATGTCACAGTTATAAACATTTAATCTTACTATAGAACGTTTATAAAATTTTGAATAAATCTCTTTTGAGTTACTTTTGGAACTTAATTATTTTATATTTATTTTGTCATTTTAAGTATGTCTACGACATGCTTTTAATTTTTAAAAAATTAACCATTTTATTTAAAAATGATAGCATATATTTTGCAGGTTCGAAAGGTGGGCTACATCTAATTAAGGTAAGAAAGGCAAGTTAAGACGTAAGATGCTACAAGTCATTGTTGTTCGTCTTTCTATATTTTAGTTCTTCTTTTTAAGTTTATAATAGTTTAATAGTTAAAGCTTCCAATTTTTTAAAATGAATGTTGCATGTTTGAGAAAAACAAACCTGATACATATGTAAAAAAAATGAACTATAAATGATGTATAAGTATGTACTTGCTTAAATTTATACACGCGTTTTTATCTCCATTTATTAAAAGATGTTATTTCGTCAGCAAATAAACAGCTACCTTACAACTAATGTAAGCCCTATGTAATTATGTAGCCAGAAATTTTACCTATCTACGGCGTCAACGGGGGTACCAGCACCTCCCCACCCACAGTAACATCCGTATCCGTTGTAATCCAGAGCATGCCCTGTGACTGTATGCAGCAATACACCTAGTTCTACCAGATTCCTCTTGTCTGCTTGGTCGCTATTGCTGGGATGGGCGTAGACCACCGCTGGTGAAAGAATTAATTTGAGAGTTATGTCCCCGTTTTCTTTATATCTACTTATTGTGTGGAACGTAGAAAAAATACTTAAAAAAAACTTTTTAAAAAACCACGTTTTTCTTGTGGACTAAAAAGTAGAAAATAACTATTTACATACATTTGATGACAAAAAACGTGGGTCGGGCAGATGGGTCGGGAAATTTGATGGTGAACGTACCCACGTTTTTTGTCATCAAATGTATGTAAATAGTTATTTTCTACTTTTTAGTCCACAAGAAAAACGTGGTTTTTTAAAAAGTTTTTTTTAAGTATTTTATTTTCTCCTTTTTAGTCCGTTGCTACACATGAAAAACGTGGTTTTTAAAAAAGTTTTTTATATAGTTTATTTTCTACTTTATCTAATGACTTGATTAAGTATGAATTGACTAAGTGTTTATAAATACACGGACTAAAATAATCTTGAGCGACCAGGATTCGAGCCTGGGTTGTCGCGGCCACAACGCGAAGTACTAACCACTATACGATCACGGCCAGCGCGCTCACATCGATTGGGGCCGAAGTAACTGTGTCAATAAGCCTCAAGTCTTGTCGGTATCTTTAGAAATCATGTCCTCAATTTTATGGTCCTTAGGGCGTAATTAAATTAAGCTAATTACGGTCTCTAATTGCTAGTTTTTATGATTGCATCTGAAATTGTTAGGCGAAAGTAACTTGCATGCCAAATTTCAGATCTATAGAGCAATCAGAAGTGGGCTAATTTTCGATGTCAATTTTAACAACAAACACATCCACACGAAGCTGAGTTAATAAAAAAAAACGTGTTAAAAAGTTGTCTTGAATGGTGCTTGTAAGTAATTCAATTGTCTTCAACTTCTTGTTTTTAGACTTGCCAACTAGTATATTTTAAACTAAATAATTGATATTTTTTATAAAATAGTAAAAAAGAAATATAAAAGTTTCTTCTGCTTTTGTCAGCTTATAAATAAATTGTAAACAATGATAATATTAGACTGCGTGTTGTAGGTTAGCGTTAAGAAAAACATTAAAGAGCTTACGTCGAATTGTGATTTTTTTTAAAAAGAAGAGTAAACTATTTCTTTCTCTTATTCTAATCCGTAACAAGGTTTTCTAAACGTAGTTACAATATCAATATGATATTATTGATATAAATACTATTGGCCTATCGGTAATTAATTTGATTCTGTTATTAGTAACAAAAATTATAATTTCTGCATTTTGAGTGTATTTCGTATTTTAAAATCTTGAAGCGAGACCTAAAAAAAAAACAACAAACAACTGAAAGCATATATATATATATATATATATATATATATATATATATATATATATATATAAATGGGAATAATTTTCAAAATAGTTAATTTACTTTGAAAATGTATATATCTCCCTGGCTAAAAAGATATCGAATTTTAAGTCCCAGACTTACAAACACTATTGCTCAATATAATCAACCACTGAATGCTAGAATGGTATAAACAAATATGTAGCATGGCTGTTGTTGCGTTTGTGTGAATTTAATGAGATAAAACAGATCTGATAAACAAAATCGTACATATACTTAATTATTCTATTGTAAAAACTTACCAAAACACAGAAGAGAAATGTAGGCAACGATAGACATGTTGACAATACCTGCAACATTAATGTATCTATTTAATACAGTTGTAAATCCAAAATTTTATCGAACACATTGAGACTTATGTGGCGATACGTGTACAGGGAAGGGCTAGCATAGTGTATTTCACACTTTTGCGTTTAAAAAAAATATACAGAAAGTTTTCACTTTTAATTTTTGCATGTTTTGAAAATGATTTGTAAATTATAGAATCTAGTACAATTTGATAAAACTTATATACCCGATTCGAACCAACTAATTTTATATCTCAGCAATAAACGCTTTGTCTAATGACAATGATAAGATAGTGTGACTGCTTTTTAGTGAGCATTGCCTGGATTTTCTGACGATGTTTGGACGATGGGATGAGGAAGATTTACGGATTAGCTTAATTAAGTGTGACTAAACCCCCAGCTTATATAAAGACTGATAAAATTAGCAACCACATTGTGATAAATCAAGCCAACCTAAGCTTAAAACTAACACATAATATTTTATTTTAAACCAACGAGCACATAAAACAGACACACAACTAATTAGGCCTTATGGACTTTGTGACCTTGAAATATTTTCCTCTGGAAAATTATTAGCCAACTAGGATTTACTTTGAATGCTAAAATGCAATACATTTTTATTTAGTAATAACAAAAAAACCTGTAATTTTATTAGCCTTTTACGATTTACTTGGTATACTAAAATATGTTACTTTTTCATTTATTTTAAGCTTTTTTTTGTCGATTTCTTAAATATATAAAGCATTTTGAATAGTTTACCATGTTTGGCACATAAAAGTAAGCATTAAACAGCAAAAAAAAAGGTTAAAAACAATTTCGGATGTTATGGAAAAAAAAACTCCACCATTCTGAATTTGTCGGTACTTTATCGGCTTATTTTTCAGTATTAAATTTGCCAACTTGTTAAAAGAGCTACTGCTCAGAATTTTACAAGGTCTGAAAAATAGTGCATTTTTTAGTATTCAAAAGTTTCAAATTGGGCAAATTGTTTATCATAAACTTTTTTTCTATCATAGAAAAATAAGATTTACTTTGAACGCTAAAGTACATTTTTTAAGAAGCACAAGAACTATTAATCAATAATCATTATCGATATTAATTAATTACTATTAAACCGCTAACAATAGACTTATTAACACAAAACAAATTAAGGAAACAATAGGGATAATATATTGCAAGTTTCTTACCTCGATAGAAAGCAGAAAACTCAGTTCAAGATCTCACTCGTTTATTTATTGTCCAAGTCCTCACGATCCACCGTGAGAGATCCCCAGATGTCTGTTATCTGCTCCGGTGCTGTAACATCCCTCATTGTCTGGAACCAGGATTTTGATGAAAGAGAACATTTTATATTTAACAGTAGTGGAACAAATTTCTATTTTTACAGTAATTTCGACTAGTGTTCGAAATAGCAAACAAACATTTAACCCTTTAAAGTGCACGAACAGACGCGTTAACCTAATTTAAAAGTTTATAAATAAAGTAAAGACTCTAGTTCGGAATGAACTTCTTGATAAGGATTCTATGTTAAATGAAACTAAAGCAAGAATAAAAATAAGAAGTAATTTATAAAACAAATAGTTCGATACATTTAAAAAAACAAAAGCTTTAAGGAATTGGTCTATACATTAGAGCGTTGGTCGGTTACGCTATCTTTTATTTGGGACATTGAAATTGATAAGAATATACGAATCAAAGACAACGAACTGGTTTTATGACTGATGAAATTAATGTATGATACCTAAAATCTCAATCTGATAAGCTCTATGATTAATTAACTGAAGAAAGTTTAATTAGCTAAGGATAAAAAACGCACTGGCAAGGATTTTTTAACATAACATTTCTTGAGTTCTCTCCCGTTAGTAAAACCACTGCAAATTTGATTTTTAAAACGAAGTGTCTACTCGGAATAAGATTTTATCGGCAAAAGATAGTTCTGCGCATGCGCAGTGACCTATGGCTAGGGTTAGGGCTAGAACGAGGGTTAGGGGTAGGATTAGGGCTAGGGATAGGGATAGGGATATGATTAGGGCTAGGGATAGGATTAGGGTTAGGGTTAGGGATAGGATTAGGGATAGGGTTAAGGATAGGATTAGGGTTGGTATTAGGGTTCTGCGGTTGTAAACACACGCATGCGCAGTACCATCGAAAACATCGCCGCTAAGTCGTAGTTTCTCTCCATTGCGCATGCGTATCGCATGCGTATCTTATTCCGACTAGAATCGGCCTTTTTAAAAATCCGTTAAGAAATTTGAAGATTCCATAATCAAACATAGATCTGAGGGATCCAGCAGTGGCTTAGTTATAAAACCCAGTATGTTTTACGATGTAGAAACATTGGTTACAACCGAGTAGACTATCATTAGAGACATTTCTTTTAATGTCAGAAGCAGAAATGGATTACTTGTCGGTGGCTTATGACTCAAGTAGGTGAAGGGGGGGGGGGGGCGTGAAAGGTAGAATGTTGACAGTCTTGAGACGACAACCTAAATTCTTCAGTGGAAGTCGAGGCGAAATGCTGTTTAAGTGGTACGTTAGGGTTAATGCTGTATTAGTGGTACGTTCGGGTTATATCTGTTTTAATGGTACGTTAGGGTTAATGCTGTTTTAGTGGTACGTTAGGGTTAATGCTGTTTCAACGGGACAATAGATTCTGATAAACTAGTGTCTACTAGCTCACAATAGTTTAAAAAAACAGTATCTAAAATATAATAGTAATTTGATGTATGCAATTGTTCTTCTAGTTCTATCTTTTGTTTTCAATTTTAGGTAATTATTTTAGATTATATATATATATATATATATATATATATATATATACATATATATATATATATATATATATATATATATATATATATATATATATATATATATATATATATATATATATATATATATATATATATATATACATTCTTACATACAATATATTTATTTATGGGGAAATGGGGAATATATATATATATATATATATATATATATATATATATATATATATATATATATATATATATATATATATATATATATACCAATGTCGTCCATATTCTACTGACTTAGCATTTAACAAATGACTTCCTGGTAGCTAAGACCGAGTTCCCTGCCTATAGTTTCTCGGTCAATGAATACAAAGTTGGGTACAGTGTTGGTATACACTGCAGTTCAACCGAGTTACATTTGTTCACACTGGATATAAATCTACCCCTCTTTACATATAACAAATATTAATATCTGCTCTGGCAGATAGCTAAGCATGGTTGCAAGGTCGTCTATAAAGGACGTCACCATCTGTATATGAGGAGGGGGGGGGGTAGGACTAAGATATGTAAAAAGGGGAAGGTGTGTTACGAAAGGGAGACGCATAGTGTGCCCGTAGTATTTGAACCTAAAATGTAGGTGACGTTCTGCGCTTTCAAAAAATATTTTGTAATTCATATAAAATATTCCTTACACTCAATGCTGACCTAGCTGAGTGTTGTTATTTTATAAAGAATTCACACTTTTTAAAAGAGGGCTGGAGAGAGGGGGAGGGGGAACTGAGTTGAGAATTTTTTTTTCGTGGATGGGGTCTGACTTATTGTGACGATGAATGACGAAAGCGAAGACCGAGTTTCCAGCCAATAGATTTTTGGTCAATGAATTCAAAGTTAGGTACAGTGAGGGTATGCACTGCAGTTAACCTTGTTGAATATTTTCACATTGGATATGATTCTACCCCTCTTGACATAAAACCCACAGTAAAATCTGCTCTGGTAGATAGCCAAGCATGGTTACCAGGTCGTGCATAAAAGACGTCACCAGCTGTATGTGATGGTGGGGGGGGGGGGGGGGGGTTGGTCTGATTTTGAAAAGGGGTATGTGCGTTATGGAAAGGAGACTTGTAGATTTTAAACTATTTTTCTACGTTACTGTGTGTGTGTTAGTATTACTGTAGAACGATCATTTTTATAGTAAACCTTTGTTTTTTACAAAACCACCATCAAATTACACAACAAATATTATTAATGAAAAGAAAATTCATTGCTTTTTGGTCGGAATTGGGCCCTCTGAAAGTCCTGCCCCCCCCCACCCCCAGTGTGCTGATATTATTTGAAACTAAAAATGAAGTTGACACTCTGCATCTTCATAAACTTATTTTGTAATTTATATACAATAATGTTTACAATCAATGCTGACCATATTATTATTATTATTTTTAAACAGAATTTACACATTTTAAAAGAAGGCTGGAGAGAGGAAGATGTTAGCTGAATAGAGACTTCTTTTTTTCGCGGTTGTGACGATGCATGATGAAAATGCAGAAAGGAGATTAACATGGACGACACCTTAAAAAGAATTCACAAACTTGTAGTCCAACCACTGTGTCACGAGTCTTGTAAACTAAATATTTGACCAACATGAAGTGTAAGACATTCTCTTTATGTAACAAGTTACGCATTCTTGCCATGATACATGGTAGCAGTTCTGCAGAACTTTAGCCTATATAGAACCTGGCTATTTCGATCGGGCTAAAAAAGTAATTTTATGTTACTGTCTGAAATCAAAGCCATGCATTTCTGGTTAAATAATTAGCAACAATGGCGTTAAAAGGATTGCTTAGTTTCGGGTTTTATAGATAATCCAAAGTTAAATTTCGATTACAGCGGTTTGTTAAGTGGATCTAGGTTATTAATACACTTCAGAGGCGTAGCGCCCCCTTCCGGCGTCCGGGGACAAACTTTCAATTTGGCGCCCCCCTCCCCCCATATTTTTTAAATTTATAATTCAAAAGTGCAGTTAAAATAAGCATTTAATTTTTTTTCCAACCCATTTTAGAGCCTCTGGGTTCGGCGCCCGGGGATATGTGTACCCCTCCCCCGTCGCTGCGCCTCTGATACAATTGTTACGTTTAGATGCATTTTACGTATTTTTTTTTATTTAGGAAAGTATAAGCGTATAAGTAGACACCGACTTAGTTCTATCTAATTAATTGGCAAATTAGCGAATGCAGTGATTATTGATTTAACAACTCGCAACGTGAGCTGATTGCATGATGTAACCAACAAATGTAATCACCTTATCACTACGTGATCAATACATTACCTATAGACTATCCCCCTCCACCTCGTATAATATGACATAGGGTTAGGCTTCTGGATAGTGTGAGGGCTAAGAATATGGACTAGTAGAGGGTTAAACATAGGCTTTTATTATAAAGTTTATGTTAAGGTTACAGAAAGGGTTACGGTTAGTGTTATAAATAGGTTTAGAATTAGATTTAGGATTAGGGTTAAGTTTAGGATAAGGACAAGGACAACGTAAGTCCTTGGATGATTGAGGCAAGTGTGGTGTACATAAGAATAAATGGTTCTTGAGAGTTCAACAAATCAACCAAAATTACATGACTTTTTATGTTTTCAAATCTACAAAAACATCACTGCATATATTAAAGCTGATAAATAAATCCATGCTCTGCTTTACCCTAAAACAGTCTATATAAAAATGTCCATGTCTATAACTGACATTTACACACGTCTCTAGTTCGATCCGCCTTGACTACACAACTTTTATAACTCATGTAAACATTAATAGGGCGAGCGTTGATTACCTCCCCGCTTTGATCTCCCCTGTTAATGATAAAGGTTAGAGTTAAGTTTCTTGTTCCGTGGCGTTTACATTAATGAGATCCGGCGGAACAGTCAATTATAACTTAAAAGTTTAAAAATAAATTATTAATAGAAACATTTCTTCTTAATTCTTTTAATTTATAGATCATTGTAGAATTGTTGATATGAGATAAAAATTATAGATAAATGATAATCTAGTTATGACGCTCCACGCATAGAAAGATTTTGTAAACAATATAAGGTCTAGTTGCCCTTAAGTTTTAGAGTACAGTTAGGTGAACTTTTGACGTCTTTACACTAACATCCCAACAATGGCGTAGGCACTATACCTACATCACAGCTGTTATTCAAAGTATTATTCAGGTTCGACGTGCTGTTTTACAAACCTACATGTTTCTGAATACTAGTAATGCATTGCATTGCAGTTTATTTTATTTAATTGTTAAAGAATTAATATGTAAGTAATAGTTATTTTAACAAGTACAATAGTCTGGTTATGTTGAAATCTGCTAAATTCAAAGCATTACAAGATACCAACAAAAAGTTACAGAATATTTACACGCACACCCACGCCCACACGCACGCTAGCACACACACACAGAGACACACACACAGATACACACACACGCACTCACACAAACATACAGACACACACGCGATCACACATCCAGACACACACACACAATGACATACACATACGCACGCACACATACGCACACACGCACGCACTCATAAACACACACACAGACACGCACACACTCAGACATATAACAAGCATCACAAACCTTGCCATTTCACAAAATTAGGTAACCATATAGCTGTGTTTGAGTTTATCAATTAAATCAGCTACACGTAACCATAAAATGGGAAACGATTTACCAATTGAAACATCTAATACATGGATGTGCTATACATGTTACACGAAATCAATAACGATAGCTAATAAAATTATAGGTGATTGAAACCGAAGATGACATTGACGATGACATAATGTTTATCAGACATTTTCAATGTTGAATATTATAATATATAGTCGTTGTACTTAGGGTAATACAAGTTCAAGCCATCGATTTACTTTAAAACAAAAAAATCAATTTTTAAGACATAGCGAGCTCATGATTTTAGTGTATCACTCAGTAAGAAGGGAAGAGTATTTGAAGAGGGGCGCAATCTTTAGGCCTATTAAAATTAATTAAAACTACCAACTGGAACCTATTAAAAAAAGGAATAATTACAATTTTAAGTAAAGTTAAATGTAAGTAATGCTTAATGTTCTTTGAGGTAATATAGTTAGTTCAAAACAAAACTAATGCATAATTAAATTTGTAATTTATTTAACTATCAATTTTAAATATTGTTATTTGTTCTTCTTCCTTGTTCTTATTTGTATTGTTGGACGTGAATTTTCTCCAAATAAATTAAGTATTACGTGTCAGCTTGTCATGCACCGTATGGGCCGATGACGTCGATTTCAGCCTGCTCTTCTTTCTGTATTTGCTTCCGTAGCCTCTTGATTCAGACTTGTGTCAGCATTATGCCCAGCCGCCTTTACTTTACGCAACTTAAGTCAGGTACCTATCATAGATGGGTGGACTCAGGGACGCTCTTCAGACTTGAAACCTGATTTGAACTCGAGGCCTTGGGTTAACAGTCGTATGCTGTACCATTCAACCACGCCATCTTATACGCTCTTACCCGTAATCAACATTTCGAGTTATGCGATATCTTTCGAGCTGTGATTTCCATCCCTTTTACATCAAGCTACCTTGTGTTGTGCGTGGCGCGGGGGCAACACGGCAGTTGGTTAAGGGCACAACTAACTGTCAGGAGCTCAAGTATCAAACTCACTGTCTCAAAGTTAACAAACGAGCGTTCACAACAATATTCCAAACATGAGGAGATCATTCTTGTCGGTATAAAAAAGATAACAAATTGAGGTAAACAGTAGAAAATTTATCATTTCCGATGGATTTCGAAAAACTAAAAAATGGACTTTACATAATATTTTTCCCTTCTGTACTCATAACACACGAGGGCGTAACTAAAAGCTCTCTTCAATTGTGCCTGTCTTTGGCATTTTTTTGACATTTCCCCAAGATATTCCGGTTTTTGTCATTTGTTTTTCACATTTTTCTATTTTACCTTTATACAACCAGCATCATTCCTGTGTTGTAAGATGAGACAAAGAAAATGTATTTTACCTACTAATTGTGTCTGTATTTTTAGATTAAGATCAGCCATGTTTAATTTGATTGTACTGTTGGTTATGCTATTTGGCCCAGCACAGTGTTTCAAAGGTAGGTTATTCGAGTGTGCGTGTAAACAAACACACATACGAACATAAACTAACACACACACTCATATATATATATATATATATATATATATATATATATATATATATATATATATATATAATGGAGCAGAAATACACCGTTTTAAAAAAATATATGTTAATTCAATTCATATTAAAAAGTTGAACTTACGGTTTTTTATCATGGAAGTATTTATTTTATTTCAGCTCTAACCTTTCATATCCTTTAAATTCAGTCTTAGCTTGAAATCATTTTGTTGTATAGATTATCTTAAGAATTCGGCTGTGCTGGGAGAAGTGGCGCGGGGCTACAAGGAGGGCGATCTCAGCCAATTGCGACCTTTGCTCAAGGCCGTGACCGGCAGGGAACCGGCAGCCTACAACAACTATGGCTGTCACTGTGGACAAAGGGGTGGTCAAAACATACCGGCTGTCGATGGGGTTGACAGGTCAGAGTTTAATCCTGACCTGACCTGACCTGACCTGACCTGACCTGACCTGACCTGACCTGACCTGACCTGACCTGACCTGACCTGACCTGACCTGACCTGACCTGACCTAACCTAACCTAACCTAACCTAACCTAACCTAACCTAACCTAATCTAATCTAACCTAATCTAACCTAACCTAACCTAACCTAACCTAACCTAACCTAACCTAACCTAACCTAACCTAACCTAACCTAACCTAACCTAACCTAACCTAACCTAACCTAACCTAACCTAACCTAACCTAACCTAACCTAACCTAACCTAACCTAGTCTAACCTAACCTAGCCTAGCCTAGCCTAGCCTAGCCAAACCTAACCTAGCCTAACCCAACCTAACCTAACCTAACCTAACCTAACCTAACCTAACCTAACCTAACCTAACCTAACCTAACCTAACCTAACCTAACCTAACCTAACCTAACCTAACCTAACCTAACCTAACCTAACCTAACCTAACCTAACCTAACCTAACCTAACCTAACCTAACCTAACCTAACCTAACCTAACCTAGCCTAACCTAGCCTAGCCTAGCCTAGCCTAGCCTAGCCTAGCCTAGCCTAGCCTCGACCTAGCCTAGCCTAGCCTCGCTAGCCTAGCCCTAACCTAAACCTAACCTAACCTAACCTAACCAAGAGTACCCTACCCTACCCTAACCCTAACCCTAACCCAAAATCTAACCCTAACCCTAAATCTAAATCTAAACCCAAACCTACACTTTAACCTTACCGTACTTTACCGGAACGGACCTGACCTAACTGAACTGACAGACTATATGCCCTAGTTGACTCGACCCGAATCGACCTGACCTGTCCCGACCCAACCTTGCCCAACCGAGACCAACCTAACCTGGTCTTGACTAGCCTAGTTGGATCTGACCTGACCTCGCCCAGGTTGAGGTGTGTGGTGTGCAAGGTTTTTGACTCGTGTCGCCCAGGTTGAGGTGTGTGGTGGTGGCGAAGGTTTTGACTTGTGGTAGAAATGCGCTGCGTGGGTGGCTTTACAGCAGTTGCCTTAAGTGCTAACTTGACGACTTGTGATAAAATGTACAACACAATACTCTCGGTTGAACTACCCTACACACACACGCACTTACACACACACGCACACACTCGCAAACCCATACACCCACCCATACGCACACACACACACACACGTGCGCAGTCACCCCCGAAACCCCCACCTCCTAACACACACAAAGACAGAAAAACACACTCACTTGCTCAGAACACTCTCACATGCATACACCCGCCCATTTGAAATGAGAATGGACCCCACCTTGTCAGATGCTGTAAGGAACATGACGAGTGCTACGCCAACCTCCCAGAATGCCAGAACCGCGAGGTGGAATACTTCTATCAGTGTCAAGCCAATAAGAAATGTCGCTGCAGTAAGTATCGTTTAGTATATTTCCAAGGAGATTTCTCAGGCCGCATTCTACGGCTTCGTAATTGCCCAACCACATTAAAAAATGTTCCTAGTATTATGTTAGTACACAGAAAAAATATATGCAATTTAAATAATAGACATTTTAGAACTGTGATGTATCCATTATATATATATATATATATATATATATATATATATATATATATATATATATATATATATATATATATATATATATATATATATATATATATTTATATATATATATATATATATATATACATATACATTTATATATATATATATATATATATATATATATATATATATATATATATATATATATATATATATATATATATATAACTATTTTTTCAGTTTCTTTCCTGAGATCGTGCAATGGCAAGGTTTGTAAATGTGACCTTGAACTTGCCAATTGCCTATCTAGAGAGTTCTATGACTACTACTACGTCAACTTCCAAAAGAAATACTGCAAGAAGTTCTGAAGAGTTTAACCAACACGGTTGCTGTGGTCTAGAAGATTAGAAATTACCCGGTGAACATTGAGTCAAATTAAAATAACGAGAATTGTGTTTACTCGCGTTATTATACATTTTTTTTTATAATATTCCTTTTATATGGAAAATGCGTCTACGTTTATGTTTACATCATTTTTACCTAATTATCATTAACCAAGCAAGTAAGGATCCCTTTCGGAAAATTAAATGTATAGTGCGGTCAGTACTATGCCTAGCCGCATTTACTTTTTTTTTACGCGACTTAGGTACCCATCAGACGTTTTGCAAACTTGAACCCACATCCAAACTCGAGACTGCATTATTATATTTAAAAACAGTTCATTATCTTTTTAAATTAGTGTATTTGTGAATTCTATATCGTTTCTCTCCCCCTTCTCTTCCCCTACCCCTATTGAACAACTTACTATTACATTACTCAATACAAGTTGATATTTCTAAATTATTAGGCATTTATGCAGAATCGTTAAGGTAAAATCGTGAGGTATATTCGAGCAGATCAGGTATTTAAAAAATCAATACATAAATTTCAAAACGTCTACAGACCAAGTTTACAGAACATTAAAAGCCGGTGATTGAATAACAAGCGGCTTGGTCGCACTGGTGGATTCAGAGTAAAAGAATGCTGTGTATTTGTGGACAAAGGACATATTTGTCTCCCTTATATTCATAATCGGGCCATAAGAACTCGGGTAAAAACCCACTGTGAAAAAAAATATCGTAACAAAAGCCGTCGCGAAAATTTAACGTCAGTGGAGGTCAACGTGACAAAAACCCAGCGTGACGAAATCAATACGTGGCAAAAACACAATGGGATAAAAACTCAACGTGACAAAAACCCAGCGTGATAAAAACTTAACGTGGCAAAAACGCAACGTGATAAAAGCTCAACGTGACAAAAACACAACGTTATAAAAACTCAACGTGGCAAAAACACAACGTGATAAAAACTCAACGTGGCAAAAACACAACGTGATAAAAACTCAACGTGACAAAAACACAACGTGATAAAAATCCAACGTGAAAAAAACTCAACGTGACAAAATATCAATTATACTTAAAACCCTTTGACACAATCTCATCGCAAAAAAAAAATTACAAGGTTAATCGGTACTTGAAAATCTGGAAAAATAGCCACAGTAACAAAAACCTTACATGATAAAGAGAGTGGTTGAAACCAATCGTGATAAAAAATCCCACTTTTACAAAAACTAAGTGTGATACAATGCTACCTTGTCAAAAACCCACAATTTCACAAACCCACCGTTAACTACCAGTACATCCAGCAGCAGGTTAATTCAAGACAATAAAATGTCACCGACAGTGGCGTAGCCAGGACCGTCTCATGGGGGGGGGGGGGGTCAAATTTTTACCCGGGGACAAACTTTCGATTTGCACCCCCCCCCCCCACCTCAAACTTTTGATTTGCACCTCCCCCCCCCCCCTCAAACTTTCGATTTGCACACCCCCCCTCAAACTTTTGATTTACACATCCCCCCTCAAACTTTCGATTTACACCCCCCCTCATACTTTATATATACCGAGGGGTCTATTGGGGGGTTATAACCCCCCCTAACCCCCTGCCTACGCCACTGGTCACCGAGTCCGCCCAGCTCTGAAGGATACCTAACTCACTGTATAGAAAGTTTAGGCGGCTTGGCATAGTGGTGACCAAACCATCCCTAGCTCATAAACGGGTAAACTCTACTTCACTTGTCCCATGGATCGTCAGTTTCGAAAAGGAAACTTTAACAAAAAAACCACAATAAAAATATCCACTATGACGAAAACCCACCATAACAAAAAAAAAGGACCATAAATCTTGTCTGAGGCCGATTTTAATTAAAATACATAAATTCGACTGGATGCATTTGCAAAATTTATTTTCCACACATAAAAAACATGCAGGTGAATGAGATTGCAAATTGTAACGCGTCGAATCTCTCTCTAAACTTAGGCCTACATTATTTTACCTACTTGAGCTTAATACTGTGTTTAATGCTCAAGCATTTGGCTAGATATAAAAAAAACCAAGAACAATTGACGACATAACATGCATGATTGGCAAGTATAACAAATAATGGGGTTAGCGGCCTGAAAATGTACAGTTTATTGACATGCTTTACTGAACAGGAGAACCCTATTCTGTCCCCTGAGGCTATGGGTCATTAGTGTTAAATCATATGTAAACTTTAATTCAATATTCGTTTTTAAATGCATTTCATGCATATAACATAACTTGCATTACACCTGAATATACGGCGTGGTCGGATGGTAGAGCATTCGACTGCTAACCCGAAAGTCTCGAATTCTCTGTTTAAGACCGTAGAACGTCCTAGAGTCTACCCAGCTCTGATAGATATTTAGCTTACATTAGAGAAAATAAATTCAGCTGGACGTAGTGCTGACTATGCTATCTGACGAGATAAAAAACAACAGGTGAACTCTACTTCACTAGCCCCATGAACCGTCAGGTTCGAAACTAAACGGTACTTGTTTACACCTGAATATTATCAACCTAAGCAGTAAAGTTCACCGTTGGTAGGCCATCTTTAACGCCACTACAAATGTTAAACCCTGTCCGTTCATTTTTCGTCCCGTGTTTATATTCTTTTTTCATCGCTTTCTTTTCCTGTAACGATATCTGGTAAAAGTTTTTTCCACAAGTTTGGAGTTTTTGTAACATTAGTATCTTTTCCTCTGACGATTTTCAGCAGGTCAGCGTGATGACCAATAGACCTAAGTACCCTGTCACTCACACATTCATTGGACATAGGGATCTCTGTATGAGATTCCTTGTACATTTTTCTTGCCTCTCATTGCCATGACTTAAACATAAGCTTAAGTACCGCCATGATTAGTTTAAATATTCAAGTACCTGATGGGGTGTATGTAGTGCCTACAATTAAAATTTCATCCAAGTTATTCAAATGCATTTTTTTTAAAAACGTTCAGCCCCATTTGATCCCAATGTACTTACAATCCATGTCAGATAGCCTATATTCTATACTTTGTTGATACTATTTTGAAAATTGTATATATCGCAAAACTAAAAAAAAAATAACAAACCATAAAGCTTTTATTGTATACATTAACTCTAAAGCACTATGCTAAAGTAAGGTCTCTAGATTTTAATGACAGCTTATTATCTAATAAAATTTCTGAACCGTCGAGAATTTTTTTTATCTGCCCTAAACGAAACGTGCAAAATATAAATATTTATATTTACAAAGCTCAGTGGTTCTCAAAGCTTGAATATTTCTTACCTTAGTGAAGTAAGCGTTGATTTATGTGTGCCCTTTTTACAATGTAATATGTGAGTTTTACTATCTATCTCGGTCGTATCGCTGGATTCTAAATATAAACTTCGTTTCTAATTCCTATCAGTGGCGTAGCTACCGCAAAACTAGCGTAAGCAAGGCATAGGGGCCCAAGGCAAATAGGGGCCTTTTTTTGAAAGTCTGAGGGTGGGGGGTGCAAATCGAAAGTCTGAGGGGGGGGAGGGGGGTGCAAATCGAAAGTTTGTCCCCGGTCGCCGAGAAGGGTCGCTACGCCTCTGAGTGGCCCACTAACACTTTTTGCATAGGGGCTCAAAAATCCTAGCTACGCCACTGATTCCTATACCATATTAAAATGTGATATGTAAGTATTGTTGTGAGGCGAATGACATGCCGAATTAATAATTGTTTGTGTTTGGTATGTTAGTAATGTTAGTAATCAAACATAATATATAACAGATTAAAAAGCGGGAGTTACATGACGATCGATGTGTCTATACCGACTTGTTACTGGTGGGAAAACAACAAGTACGAATACTTTAAGTAGCACAAAAAAAAAACAACTAATAATCGAAAGTGTATTTTAAAGTAAAAGAAAAGTAGTTCTGCTTCCATTTAGTAATAATTGAAGACACCATTTGTTTTAGGTTTTATAAGTTAGATAGAACGATGCGGCCTAGAGAGCTGGACTGCAGAGGCGTAGCGATGGGGGGGGGGGGGGGGGGCAGGGGGGGACATATGTCCCCGGGCGCTGACCTTAGGGGGCGCCAAAATGGGTTGTAAAACAAATTAAAATGTCATTTTAGCTGCATTTTTTCAGTTTGCGGGGGGGGGGGGGGGTTTGCAAATCAAACATTTGCTCCCAAGGGGGGCGCCAAATTGAAAGTTTGTCCCCGGGCGCCGAAAAGGGTCGCTACGCCTCTGCTGGATTGCTTAACCCGGTCCAAGTCAATAGAATGTCCCTGAGTCTACCCAGCTCGGATGGGTATCTAACCAACATTAGGGAAAACAAAGGCGAATTGGCAGAGTGCTGAGCACACTATCCCTCCGTATGCCTAGGTGAAGTAACAGATACACTCTACTTCATCTGGCCCATGTATCTTGGGCAAGAACGGAAAAAAATGATTAGTAAGGCTAGACTTTATTTTAAATTTAACTTTAAATCGCTGAAAAGTCGATACAGAACTACAAATTTGATATAATACTTATATAAGAAGTACTCAAGTTATCGTGTTTATAGACACACATACATACACACATACATACAGACAGACATACGGACACAATTGCAAAACCATGTTTTCCGACTCAGGGAGGTGTAAAAGGTGTACACACATTTTGTAAAAATCTCGGATTTTATTTTTGCACGCATACTATACTTCCTTTATACTCCGTAAACGAGAAAGTAAAAATTGACCTCACTGTCTAGTTACGTCCCGAGGTCACACACACATACATTGTGTACTTTATCTTACCTACTGACCTTTAGACTAACAACGTTATAGCTGCGTTACGTGAAGTGACTTATCGTGTGCGCTTGTTTAAAAATACCTTGAGAACCTTCGCCGAGACGACAGTCCATGCAGTTACCTAACTCTTGACGCAACAAATAGCATGTGCCCAGCAGACCGTGACGAAAGGCACGCTATGTCGTCGTGACATGTTCCCTATGTAAACGCTTGAGGCACGGTAAGTAACAAAAGCTACATTTTACATTCGGTTATCTATTCACGGGCATGCTGATTCAATGTGGTTAATATACAATGAATGTTTCAAACTCTGCTATCGTAAATTAATTAACCGATATTTTTTTTGTCCCGTCTCTATTGAAAACGTGCGTGTTAAATTTTTTTTCCTAATCTGTAAAGCTCCTGGATATATAATTACTTTATAGAGGCATTAACTCTGAGACACGAATAAACTAAGCGCAAAGGGAGACAACGTTTTTACGTAACGTTTGTTTAATACATAAAGACGTCTGTGTCACCGTATTACAACTGACGTCTTCTGTTAAGGACGTCAATTAAAGAATAAATACTTAAACTGAATTATGATTTTAACGTAGCGCATATACAAGAAATATTCTTTTATCGTTATTTTTCCTGTCAGGGTACATACACTTATACAATTTATACCGATTATTAAAAAAAATCTACACATCTTTATAGCACCCAAGATTTAAGATTTGATAATGAATATAAAACATTTACAACGCCTAGGCTAAACATTTGAAAGAACACAAATGGGCTAAAAGATAAACACATTTTTTTTAATGTAGACAGACAGACGGACGCACAGGCGGGATTGAAGACAGATGCACAGACAGATATACAGGCATACAGACATAAGCATACAAGACATGCATGACTTACAGAAAGAGAGAGAGCGACAGACAGACAGACAGACAGACAGACAGACAGACAGACAGACAGACAGACAGACAGACAGACAGACAGACAGACAGACAGACAGACAGACAGACAGACAGACAGACAGACAGACAGACAGACAGACAGACAGACAGACAGACAGACAGACAGACAGACAGACAGACAGACAGACAGACAGACAGACAGACAGACAGACAGACAGACAGACAGACAGACAGACAGACAGACAGACAGACAGACAGACAGACAGACAGACAGACAGACAGACAGACAGACAGACAGACAGACAGACAGACAGACAGACAGACAGACAGACAGACAGACAGACAGACAGACAGACAGACAGACAGACAGACAGACAGACAGACAGACAGACAGACAGACAGACAGACAGACAGACAGACAGACAGACAGACAGACAGACAGACATGCAGACAGACAGACAGACAGACAGACAGACAGACATGCAGACATGCAGAGAGACATGCAGACATGCAGACATGCAGACAGACAGACAGACGGACGGACGGACGGACGGACGGACGGACAGACAGACAGACAGACAAACAGACAGTGAGACAGACAGATAGATAGACATGCGTATAGACACTTATACACTGATAAACACATAATTACACACAGACAGACACACAGAAGTACAGACATATAGACCGATGAATCGAGTTTTTAAAAAAATCTCTTAATTTGTGCGCTGAATGTTTTGAACTAAGACTGTATTAACCCATATTCTGCTAGCGTCCCACTTATGGGACGCTTGCAAGAAAAATTGCTAAAATTTATTAAAAACTATTTAAAACACAAATTATGTTTCATTGTATTTGAAAATGGCTAGACTATTGAATTTGTGTGTGTTTTGTGAAAAAAATTAATTTAGAAAAATGTTATAGTGCCGGATTTGCAGGACTTGTCAAAATGGCGGAAAAAAGAAAACATGCGCGCAGGAAAATGCATATCTTCTAAAATATTAACATTTTAAGTGCAAAATACATTTGAAACTTGTAGCAGTACCATATTTCTATCTGATAAAAATTTAAGAATAATAATTTTTTTTTACTACTTCGTTATATCAAGTGTACAACAAGCGTCCCATAAGTGGGACGCTAGCAACGAATGGCCCCATGTAGATTGTTACACAAACGTCACATTTATTGGACACTAGCGAGAAACACAGATGCAAATATATATGTTAAATGGTTATTTATGGTGAAACAATTGTTGACTTTGTTAACTGTTGACTTTAGGGTGTTAATTAGTATTTATAGATATTTAATTATGACCTTGAGCTATATTTTCTTATATATTATTGTATTAAAAAATTGCAAATATTGAAAAACTTACATTTTATTTTCAAGTTTTCAGAATTACACTTACTGAAGTATTTAATACCAACGAATACAAACTAATTTAGTATTGCTGTAAATTTACTAGCGGGTGATATTAAAATTATAACAAACCAGAATAATAACAATGGCCACGATTTAGGTGAAATGATTCAGTCATGGGGGTTGGTTAACTCTCTTCATATAAGAGAGCTCAAGCTACATATAGCAGAAATGTGAATTAGCTGTGTACTGTTGTCATGCCCCAATAATATTCCCCTCCAAAGGTTCCCAATACCAGTTTTACTTTGTTAACTTTTTAAGGAGATCCCTGGTGTTAGATTGGGAGCTGTTCGCATAGTGAGGTGCATACATGGATGAGAGCCATGAACACTCAATACAAGCCCCCAGAGACGGATCCGTGCCCTAGAAATAAGATGTCTGATGTCCTAATGTACGCCTGTGAGGGGGGGGGGGAGGAATAGCGAGGGTAACAAAAGAGAAGATGGCTGGATGACATCTGGGACTGGACCGGATCATCTTTTGCAAACTCACCGAGGGCAGTTTCTTTCAGGCATCATTTCGGAGGAGGAGGGGGGGGGCTCTGCCCCCATAACAAAATGGAATTTATATACAAAACATACTTTTACCAATGTCCACCCTTCCCCTGAAATTTAAGTCCCCACCCCTGAAAATTTCAAGTTCGCCCACCAAAAAATCAATTATTTATATTTAATTATATTACAGTTTCGATGAATAATAACAATATTTGTGATCATGTGTGTCTAATTAGATGTACTAGTCACAGCTTTACTTATTTCCAAGTGTTATTTACTCTGATGGATGCTAGATTGAAAGAAAACTAGACTTTTGAACATAATTTCTGCATTTTAGACCATGGTATGGCTAACCCAATTGATCATTATCAGTATTTTTAGCTGCCCTAAACAATGTAATCATTGGTCTAACAATACAAAATCAGTATACAGCTTAATTTTCGCGTGAATAGCCATATTTCGTGATAAATGATTTTATTTTTCAATAAATGTACATGGGGCCGTTCGTTGCTAGCGTCCCATTTATGGGACGTTTTTTAAAAAATCAATATTTTAAAAAGTATTGATTTAAAAAAAAAATCCATAGTCATTCCTTCATTCAGTGCCCAAAAGCTAAACCATATCAAAAAATTATAAAAATCTGAGACCTTGGGATAATATGGGTTAAAACGTTGTAAAAATAACCTTCTCAAATGTAGCTTAGGGCGGTTCGCTGCATCATGAATGTGATTGAAGGCCTGGGAATCGCTGAAGAGGTTATTGGACGCAGCTCAGTCGTGCGTGAAGCCCTTATGCCACCGGTTCATGAAACGACCTTTGTGCGATTGGCTGTTGCCCAACTTAACCGAATTATTAGCCAGGGTATATAAGCCCTGTTAAAGGGATGTAACTGCTGTTACAGTTAGTGATTGCGTCCTTGGAAACCTGAACTTGTAACTGTTGATTCAGCGTCACCTTGTGGACAGGTTAGATTTTTTGGTCACAGTTTGAATTTACATGCATACTTTTCATTTGTTTATGTTTTTTTTAATCATATTTTTGTAAAGTTTAGATTTAAATGCATCATTTTAATATTTTTTCATGTTTTTAAGTAATATTTTTATATACCTTGAATTAAAACAATTTTTTTTTTAATTTGGTCATGTTCTTTGTTGTACTTTAATGATTAAACTAAAAAGGTGGACTGATTTCGGCGAGGGATATTTTTAAAAGTAGTGTTGAAGCAATACGTATGACTTACATTCTACTGCTAAACTTTTAAACGGAGATTCAGTAAACGTTAAAGTTCAATTGTGATGGAGGCGTGGTCGATTCGGCTAAAGCAAATGGTTGATAAATTCGAAAAAAGTCTCGAGTTCAAACCCTCTGGAAGATAAGGTTCGATCCCCTCCAACCCTGAAAATTAAGAACGAAAAAGCAGTGTTGTTTAGAATGTAATTTTTATGCTTTTTAAAATAGGTTTATTTTCCACATCTTATAACTTTTTATTTATATCCTACTTCTGTTTGTAGAATAGATATATTTTATATCTGAATCTAAGAAAACTGCTGTAAAACGTGCCGCTTTAAATATATATATATATATATATATATATATATATATATATATATATATATATATATATATATATATATATATATATATATATATAGATATAGATATATATATATATATATATATATAGATAGATAGATAGATAGATAGATATATAGATATACATATACATATACATTCACAACCGGATAACAACAAGCTAGACAGTTTACTCATGTAAAATTCGATAGACATATGATCATATGTTTGGAGTACAATACATATTAGGACCCATTTTCCTTCAACGTAACATAATTTGCAATCTAAAAACACAAAAACTGTAGTTTTAATTAATTAAAAAACCCCACCCACCGTGAAAGAAATCCGTGAAAGAAATGTAATTTATGTATAAAACATTTACTTTAACCTGTGTCCGCCCCCAGGAAAGTGTTATCCGCCACCCCCCCCACCCCCCCCCCCGAAAAAAAATATCAAGTGCCCTCAGGAGAAACAAGTCTGGAAGAAACACTGTGCGTAGTGTAATGGTTTAATATCTCTATAGTAGGGTTATGTCCATTCATGATTTAGCCCTTTCAGAAATGTTTTTTCTAAGTTTCATGTTAATCACCGGGAACTAAACAATTCCTTGTGCGACAACAAACTTGCCATTTTGGAAGACCTTTTATTTCCTTCTGTCATTAATGCTTTGACTAAGTTTACATACACCTGCTTATCAGCGAGCATTTAACATGCATTCATGCTAGAAAACTTCTAAACATTAATTTCTTTTCTAAAATCGGTCAGATAGAGTGGAGATTATCTGTTCCGGTAACCTTCATGTATGAATACAATGTGTGGTCAGCGCTATATTATAAATAATTTTATATGGGGTAATCGTTCAAGCAAGATCACGACTAAAATAATTTTATAATTAAATTATATATGATCAATAATATGCCAATAACTATATGAATAAAGGGCACGAATTAAGTTATAACCTGGACTAAACTTAATTGAGCACAGCCCTTCTTTTATGTGGGCCTACAAATTAAAAAAAATACGTCTACAGTTTTTTTAATGATTTTATCAAACTAATTAATGACATGTTTTATTTCAGTTGCTAATCATGACTTCATTGAAAGTGATCGTAGTTCTGCTAACTGTAACAGTTCTAGGTAGGAATTTAAAGTTAGAAAATGTCAATGACACAACTTTATCTTAAGACATGTTTTGTTTGAAGGATAGATCTTAGGGGTTTAAAGCACCTCTAAACATGTCCCCATATACGTACGAATAAATCCAGTTGTAAAAAACGTTTTTAATGAAATTATATTCATAGACAGTATCAATATAATTAATATATGAAGTTTGTAGACAGGCAAAGTAGAAAAAAAATCAAAACTATAAAAGGTGTATAAGTATAAAAGTATATAAGATTAGAACGGAAACTAACAACGTAACATTAAGGACGGCGTGGTGGGGGAAGCGAGCGTGTGATTTCCAATTCCAAAAGTCCCGAGTTCGTACCCTGAGGCAGATTATGCTTGTTAGCTGGAAACCGCTACCCATCTAGAAAAGAATACTCACAAAAAAATAAGAATAAATACAACTGAACTGCTGCCGTGGAGATTGTTCTTGATTAGGCTTGGATATTAAACAGAGTTTCTTCCAGGCATCTCTTGGGGGGGGGGGGGGGGGACGGGACGGGACGACGACGACGACGGGGGACCGGGACGACGAAGCCTCCCCCCCCCCCCCCCCCCCCCCGAAAAAATTCTACCGCCCCCCCCCTGAACGAAATGAAATTTATATAATTTATATAGAAAATATGTACTTTTAACAGTGTCTCCACCCCGCCCCCCGAAGAAAGTGTACCGCCCCCCCTCCCCCCCCGAAAATTTTTCAGGTGTCTGGAAGAAACACTGATATTAAAGCATATCCAGCAAAGAAAAGCAGGCTGAAATCGGAGTCAATGGCACATAGGGGGCATAACACATTTACAACGTAAGATCTAATTGTGTTGGAAGACAACCCTTCCAAGTGAAGGAAACCCCTTATATTAATACTATTTAGAGCGAAAAAAACAAACAGAACACAAATCGCCTTTAATGAGATCAAATTTCCACGACAGCTTTCCACCAGTGTGACGGCAACTTGCAGGAACTGTGTGTGGTGTTTGAGACCTACATCAGCCGGCCCTGTATGGACTTCAGCAGCTACGGCTGTTCGTGTGGGCCGTCAAAGTTTGGGGTACCCATTGACGGCATCGACACGTACGTTTAAATATATCGTGTGATATGGTTATATACATACATACACAATATATACTAATTCATACAAACACATAAAACATACACACCAACACACAACACACAAACATATAAATAAATAAATAAATAAATAAATAAATAAATAAATAAATAAATAAATAAATATATATATATATATATATATATATATATATATATATATATATATATATATATATATATATAGACTTTTGTACTGGTGTCAAAAACTTTATCGGTTGAAAGTAAATATATAAATATAATCATATATATATATATATATATATATATATATATATATATATATATATATATATATATATATATATATATATATATATATATATATATAATGCACTTATAAATAAATATGAGAGAGAGAATGCAAGAGAAAGAGAGAGAAAGCAAGAGAGAGATGAAGATATAATATAGTATATATACTGTGAGAGAGAGTAATAGAGAGATAAAGAGAGAGAGAGAGAGAGCACGAGAGAGATGTAGAGATAGTCATTTTCCTTTGAAAAGCAAATGCTCCTGTTTAACTCTACTTACAACCCAAACTACTTTATAGATGCTGTAAGCAGAAGAAGAATTGCTATGCCCAGACAAGCTGTACCTACAATGACTATACCGGAGTCATGTGTTCGAATGGCGCCTGTCTCTGTGACGGTAGGTTTGGTCAGGTTTTGTTGATGTTCGAATGGCGCCTGTCTCTGTGACGGTAGGTTTGGTCAGCTGTTGTTGATGTTCGAATGGCGCCTGTCTCTGTGACGGTAGGTTTGGTCAGCTGTTGTTGATGTTTGAATGGCGCCTGTCTCTGTGACGGTAGGTTTGGTCAGCTGTTGTTGATGTTTGAATGGCGCCTGTCTCTGTGACGGTAGGTTTGGTCAGGTTTTGTTGAGCCATTTTATAGGGTAACATCTGACATTCTAGCAATGCAACTCTCACGTGTAAAAATGATTTTATTGATGCATTTTGGGTAAATTATGATACTATCTAAGGATAAAGTAAATGTATAAAATAATTGCTTTGTTATAAGTTAGTTTAAATTTTTAGTATAAAACGTCAGTCTGGTAGAAGTATTAACGCAGATTTCAATGATAAAAGTTGTTTAACATTAATTTGACCAAGAGTTCATAAAGTAGATACGTTTTGCCATAACTCTATGTTACATATGATTTTGAGAAATTTCAAATTTACTCACTGTCAAATGTATTGCTAATATTTTAGTTCTTAGGTTATTAAAATAAGTGTTCACTAGTTTTCAAAAAACAATTTTGAAAAACTACCACCTTTGAACAAAATAACTTATAGTTATCAAACATCATCTTTTATCTTTTGTGCCTAAGACACATGGGACCGCAACAGAAAGTTTTTCCCACTTTTGTCAGTCTTCGGCAATTTATTTGGCAGTACCCCCAGATAATGTCAGCCCTTGTCAGTTGTTTCTATACCGTGTGTATAGATCTCCCTCGCCCGTACCTAATTGAGGTGGCAAACATTGAGGTCCAAATATGTTTTTTAACGCTTGAATTCCCCAATTGTTACTTAAAAGAGGAAAATAATATTCTTTAATACTTACTGATGACAAAATCTATTACTTATGTTTGTTTTAAATTTTCCCACCAGACACGGACGTGACGTCATGTGCGTACAAGGCGTGTCAATGTGACGTACAGGCAGCTGAGTGCTTCACTCAACAAACCTTCAACACATCCCTGATCAGCTACAACTACACCAACTGTGTTGTTGTTTAAATGATCTGACGCTGAACACCAACAAAAAAAACAAAACAATTATAGCTCACAAAGTAGAAATGTGATAGTTTAGTATACAGTCGAATGTAAAGTTGACTATTTTATTTTACTAACAAACATTGTTAATAAATGTTGGATGTAATAACATAATAATTATGTATTGTATGTATACTAATAAAACAATATTTATATTTTTTTTCGCCAATATATATATATATATATATATATATATATATATATATATATATATATATATATATATATATATATATATATATATATATAAGCTATATTACGCAAGTACTGTTTCTAAATTTTCCAAATCTGTATTAATTTCCCATATAAAAGGATAAACGGTTTTAGGTTGTATATTATCATATTATTCTAAGGCCAGTTAAATAATATTTTAATAATCGAAATGTAGCTAGTTTTTTCAATATATATTTTCCACTTTCGATTGTCACATGATCGATGTAAGGTTGAATCTAAAAAAATCTTTGCTGTTATTTTATTCTTGCTGTGTTACTGAATTGTAAGTTGTAAATTAATTGTAAATTAATAAGTAAAATGGCAATAAATTATACACAAAGATATAAATGCATACAATCAAACACTGAAACAAACACCCACTCAAACATACAATCAAACAAATGCGCGAACTCATATACACCAACTAACCTACACACAGAAACATGAGCACTCAATATCAATCCGCCTTATTTGACGCTTACAAATTCCAAACGAGTTGTTAGATGTAAAGGGAGGTAACAACGAATTAAACAAACGTCACCAAAGTTTACTTGGTTACTGTCCTTACCATTTTTAATAGTACAAAATATATTTGTTAATCTCTTTTTGCTTGTAATCGCGAATTAACTTGTTGATAAAAAACTTTTTAGTTTTATTTAAATAAACAATCATATCCCATGAAATGAGGTTAGTTAATATTTTGAAAATTAAGTGGAGCTTATCTGTTTCTATGATCTTGACACTAAAATGTACGGTATTATAAGCAATAGTGCTGAGCGGTGGTTGCATCATTCAAATCTTTGTTTCTTCCAGACCTTTTCTCCGTGGTGGGGGGGGGGGGGGGGGGGTACTTGAAACATTCGGAGGGGGGGGGGGGAAGGCTGACTAAAAACTTCCGGGGACGGACTGAATTTTCACTGTGAAAAGTATATATTTTCAATATCAATTCCATTTCGTTCGAGGGTTGGGGGGGGGGGAGGTGGTAGACTTTCTTCGGGTTGGGGGGGGGGGGGGTGAGATGCCTGGAAAAAACTATTATTCAAATACAGCATCACTAGGAAATTAGATGACTTAGGACCTTGAACCGAACTTGAGACAATCAGGTAAGCAATCGAGTGCTCCACCATTCACCACGGCGTCAGATTCTAAGCGCAACAAATTTTGTCCGAAGATGTAACGCAGATACACAAATTAAGCTTAAAATTCAAATCCTTGTTATATTTTATCACGTAGATATTTAAAACGTTGTCTTATTATTTTAAAAAAAAGGTTATCAAAAACATATTTTAAAAGCTGTGTAGTCCGTATCAAAATTGAATTTAATCATTTTGGTCTATAAGCCTACATTCATAAATACAATTCGGTGACTAAAAAATATGTGTTGAATACAAATTCATCCTAATATTTAGTATTCAGATTTTAAATTTCGTTTGCTATGATCTGTTTATAATTACAAAAGTAAAAATGTTGAAATACTATCGATTTTGCGCAAGGGCATAAGATGATAATCGGATGTGCTGTGTAATTGAGGTTTACTTTGAAGCTTAAATCATTAAGTATGGGTCTCCTCGTGATCTTATCACAAGCAACGAACAGCTTGTAAGTATCGATTTCCCCACATACATTGACCTACTCATAAGTATCATCATCTTTTCTCGTTCAGGCTCAATACACATGGGGAAGATTAAGAAAAATTCATCTGTTTCAATGACCTCTACATACAAGAGAATAGTGTTGTCAGCACTATGCCCAGACAGAATAGTGTGACAAATTGTTTCCTTGACGTGTCAGGTACCCATAAGAGCTGCGTGGACTCGCGGAGGTCCTACAGATAACAGAATGGAGCCCGGGATCAGAACTTGAGAAATTCCGGTAGCAATTTTAAACTCTAAAAAATTATTAAGCAGTCTCGCCTCAAAAGTATCGATGTCTTCAAAAGTATCGATATTGACACAAGTGGCAAAACCCTCATACATATCGATCTACACAATCCGTGGCGTTCTCTGGAGACTCACAATAATAAATCAACAATCAAATTTAGAGTAGAAAAACAATTATATGAGGTAGGTATGGAGTAAGACTTATTCATGAGATAAGGAAGGTTGCTGGGAATACTCAATGTCCTTGTTGCTTTTTATAAGTAAGAGAGTATTATAACGTTTAAACCACATTGGGTTAATACACATTTGTGTCATTATAAAAGATTTGAATTAACAATTATTAACCAGTTTTTACGCGATGTAGATAGAGATTCACAATTTTTGTTTTCTATTTAGCTTTGCGGTTTTTCTTCATGATGAAAACTCTGTTCATTGAGTCATTCAATATTTAAAAAAATGTTTTTCATAAATGTTTAAATCACCAAGTATATATATATATATATATATATATATATATATATATATATATATATATATATATATATATATATATGCGACTTACATACATTCAAACGGGTATGTACTTATACACCTATATGATGTCCTACAATTGCAAAATATAGTACCACGTACACCAAAACAACAAGGAAAAAACAAAACCTATCTTTCTTTAACTTAAAGTTAAGTGTTCGAAAATCAATTTGATCTTAATCGCATTAGTAGGGAGACATTTTACAATACAAAGCCATCTATTAACAGCATGACTTTACAAACACAATTCTATTAAACACATGTAATATCTATAACTGTAAACTCGACAGCAGAAAATTGATGTTTAAATTGTCATGAAGGCCTGTCGGTAAATTGATTGTTAAAGCTGTTTAACTAAAGTCGGATTGGATGTAAGAGTAAACAAATAATCCATTATAGCGTGTATTAAGCAGGGCCGTAGCAGCGCAGTTAAAAATTGTGTGCTTTGGTGTCCTTCCCCCTCCCCCAGCTCCCGTCACTTAGATTACCGTACAAAACAAAATTTAAGTAGCCTACCATATGACGGTCCATGGGGCAGGCGCAGTAGGGTTCATCTATTTCTGAAACCTTGTTTTATAAGGGATAGTTTAGTTACCAATTAGTCCAGACGAATTAACCTACCATACAGTAAATCAAGTACCCATCAGAGCTGGGTGAACTCAGGGAGGTCCAAAAGACCCGGGCCCGGGATCTAATGTTGCGACTTTCGGGTCAGCAGTAGAACGCTCTGCCGTTCAACCACGCCTTTAAGGGGGGGGGGGGGGGGGCTCCTGTAAAAACAACTTTAAAAAAAATACATGCATAAGACAGTGAGTTATCCTGGTATAATATTAATGCTATTTTGCTAATAACTTCCTAATTTTTGTATCAGCACTAGGATAATAAAATGAATGTTCCACTTTTTCCATAATGTTATTGTAGCGTTTGGTTCAAATGTAAACGAGAAAGCTAAGCGTTAAGCGCCGTATCATGTTACGTTATATTTTTTGGGATAATTTAGCTGTAAATGTAATATTATTTATTCAGTTTGAAAATCTGGAATTTTTCAAAGTCGAATTTTCAAGAATATTATTTTTGAAACAGTTATATTTTAGTGTTAAATTATGTTAATTATCCTTTATGCTTTTCATAATTTAAACGTCTTTAAAATTTTATAATTCAATGAAACTATCAACATATTAAAAAAAAAAACAACAAAGAAATTGGTGCATTTAAGTAAGGGCTGGTAATTAGGCCACCAACAAGCTCTACGGCTCAATAAAACCTGCATGAGCCATAGAACTGATTGGTGACCTACTTGCCAGCCCTATTGCAATACAGAGACATTTTTCAATTACCAAAGGGAGGCAACCTACGCCCCTCCAGCCACATTGTTCTATAATCTTCTGTCGTTTGATTAGGTGTTAGCCACGTCAGTAAGTCACCCACAACTCTGAGAGAAGCAGCAGCCGACCTTTGTCTTTGTATTCAGGTAGGTTATGCTTGTTGCTTGTATAGATGTTAAATTATAAGTCAATTTAACTTTCTATCTCCAGTTAAGACATATATATATATACATATATATATATATATATATATATATATATATATATATATAATATTTTACAAAGCAATTTGAACCATGCATGCCACAATATTATATTGTCAATGTACAGATGTTCATTAATTATAAAGCACACTGAACAATTTGTCTTAAGTATTAGAAAATAAAAGTATAAATTAGTATAATAACGTATTTTATGTCAACATATCAAATTGTTTTTGTTTATCATTTTTTATTAATGATTTAAGTTTATTTAACGGTTTAAAGATAGCTGAACAATAAAACAAAAACAAACAATGTTATTTCACTTTCTAAATAATAACAAATAGCTTTGTTACAATTGTGTTTGAATTTGGAAGACGATCTCGTATTTAGAATGTAGTTTTTATGCATTTTTTAACTATGTTGTTTGTTACATAAAATTGCCACGTTTGAAGCGTGAACTTTCTAGTGGTGCAGGTATTAAAATAATAAAGACTTTTTGTTTAGTTAAGTTGTTTTAATAATGATTAATCGTTGTTTATTGATGGGATAAATGTTGGGTAAAGAAATTTTCTACATGCAGATGCAAGTTCTATTTTCTTATTCGGTTTCTTAAAATGTTATAAGCCTTTGCAGGTACATTAAAAATGTTCACGTTAACTTATATGTTTTAACTAAACAATTATATATTAGTTTATACTTTTTTTAAACTATTGAATTATCTATTAACATTTATATTAAGGAAACTATACACACTTTAACATTTATAATTCGGTATGTAATTTTGAATAAATAAATAGAACCGAGAATATAAGCAATATTTTTATATAGTTTTTTTAAACGTTTTATTTGAAAGTATTCAACTATTTGCCTACTTTTAACTTCAGGCGCTAAACATGTCCAATCTTTGGATGATCTCCCTTCTACTGGTGTTGGCAGCGCTAGGTAAATATACAATATTCAAATCCTCACTAATCATGAACAAAACAGTATTTTAACTCTACACACAATGTGATTAGATATAAGAATTAACGGTATCCTTTCCAAAATGGGAGTCAATAATTCAACAAGTAAACAGTTCAGGTAAAGTAGAGTTCAACACATTCGGAGAACACAGTATTTTAAAAAGAATGTAGTGTGGTCAGCAGTATGCCCAGCCAGAGGCGTAGCGAGGGGGGGGGGGCGGGGGGTGCGGACCGCACCGGGTGACACCATTTAGGGGGGTGACACCAACGCAAAAAATAGCAAAATATATATAGAGAAAAACTTGAGGGGGGGGGGGGTGCAAATCGAAAGTTTGCAGGGGGTGCAGATCGAAAATTTGAAAGTTTGTCCCGGGAAGGGTCGCTACGCCTCTGGGGGGTGACACCATTAAATGCCGCACCGGGTGACCCGACCTCGCTACGCCCCTGTGCCCAGCCACCTTTACTTTACCTAAGGCGAGTCAGCTACCCGTCGGGCTGGGTGGACTCATGGATGTCCTACTGACACCCCCGTGTTCAAAACAAGAGGCTTTCGGACTAGCAGTTATGCGCTCTACTTCCCAACCACACCGTCTGATTAGCTATCGTGAAATTAAAATGGCGAGACATAAATGATAAGTTTCAATATATATTTATCTATCTATATATATAATTCTCTTCTGGGAGACGTTAGAAAAC